CTTATTTAATACTGGAAAAAATTTGAATTACAAGCTATTGTGAGATTATGAATTTCCAATGCAATTTTTTAATTTATTTTATTTGTTATAATTAAACACTTAACCAATTTTAACTACATAAATTATTATTTGATTTATTTTCTGACTTAAGATTACAGGTAATAAAGTATAAATTCTCTGTAGAATTTAAAATATAATATTTTAAATAATACTTAAAAATTTTAATGTCCTCCAATTAATAGTATGGTTAATTTTTAACTCTTATCGTAATAAACTTGAAATTAACTTGCAATATTTTAACAGATCTAAAAGTTATTAAATATGGAAGATAATAATATGCAATCTCATAAACCGGAATCATCATATGTATGATAAGATATAAAGCTTATGACGATCGCATTGTGTAGAGAGCAAGCTGAAGATGATGAGGGTCATTCATGATCAATCAGAAGAAAAATTATGATGGGGTATCACGTAAGCCTTATGACGTGATGACATATGACGCAGAGGAAGATAATTTTTCCGATTCCTTGTGTTTGGCGAGTAATAATTTTGCCATGGTTTTCACTTTGGGCGATAAACGTATTAGCAAAGAAATAATTACTACAATGTTCTTCATATTTTCATGCTTGAATATTGACAGGTAATTAATATTTTTTTTTCAATTTTTTCTAAATATATGCATTTTTAAGCAAATAACTAGTTGTATGTATTTTATAATGCCAAATTTGAATATTTTGTGCAATCGTTCAAATACTTAATAGTTTATAATTAAAATATCTACAATAATTTTTAACTAAAATTAATTTTAAAAAATAATTTAGGTTTTTTTTAAAAAAAATATTTGCATGTAATTAAGATTTTAAAATATTATTTATGTGTATTTATAATCACCATAATTTTGTTTTATTTTTTCCTCTGGCTAATAATCTAGTTGTAGGGTTGTAATAGTGAATTCTGTCGCAAGATTACAAATTACATCGCCAAATGGTTTTAACCAACCTATAGTACTATAAAAACCAATGCTTCACACTCAAAACAATCATTTGCACTTTCTGCACTAGAAGCATTTCTTAGGACTTGGAGCATTATAGAAACTATTTTACCCTCTTTTTGCAACAATCGAATCAACTGTAATTACTTTCAATGGATTCCTATAATGACGATGGTTACCATGACAGGACTGTGAAAAATGGCCATCTCGAATCACAAACGCACCGAAGCAACTTAAACTACGATCAAGCATTCAAAACCAATGTAAGTTCCCAGCACAAGGAGGATAAATATCAACCAATCAACCAAATACCCAAAGCCTCAAATGGTGAACAAGTGCAGAATGGACTGTCTTCTAATGGAAAACTTGAAGAAAATCATGTTATTTCCAATGGACATAAGCCTGCCGTCAACGGACGAAATCCTTTCCAGCAAGCCTTCACCAACGGTACACATCAAGCTTCAGATCATACATCTACCAAAAAAATAGATGAGGAATCTGATTCTGCCACGAGAAGCATCACAAAACCTCTCGTTTTGGAAGCTGAAGAATTAACTGCTGATGTGTTACATGATTTATTCAATGACAATATTTGCGTTCTTAGAATCAAAAGCTACGTTCCCCAAACTGTATGCCAAAAGCTAGACAGTTTTCTTCGCGAAAAAGGATCTGATCCATATACACATGAAATCAGAAAAAATGGCAAAGTGGATCTGCTTTATTTTGGTGTTAACAGATATGGATATCCACTGAACAGCATCTACAAAGACGATACGGGTGAAAACCTGAAGAAGTACCTGGCAGAAGCCTTGCCAACCATGCGCTCCATCAGAAAAGCTGCCGCTCCCTTTTTGTCACCAATCGATAAATTCCGTGTTGAGCTTGATGAAGCGTGGCCAAAAAAGGCTAATGTTGCAACTTTCAAAGGACAAAAGACATTCTGTGGGATCGGTCGCATAATGCCAACTAGCTTGTCAGAACTTTCCGAAACACAGCCCCATTTCGATGCAGTTCCTACAGCCTGTTTTCCTGACATTTACAAGCAATTCACAGCGAACTTCTACTTGAATGTCCCTGAAGAAGGTGGTGAGTTAGAAATATGGAATGTTCCCCCACTTGACATTAATAACATTGAAAATTTCACAATTCCAGAGAATTGGAGAGAACTTCTACCGACTTCCATAAAGGTCAAGCCAGAACCAGGCGATCTTGTTCTATTTAACACTCGCCGACCACATGCTATAACGAAATTTGGTGGACCCAATCCCCGAACGAGCATTCAGACTTTCATTGGATACACAAAAGACTCAGAAGTGTTTTTGTGGGTGTGACGATGGCTTCAAGAAAGTTTAAATATTTTACGATAAATAATGAATTAATCATTTTTTAAATAATTTTTGTAGCATTCATTCTTTTAATTTCGGTGATTTGGTGCATTTTATTAATACACTAGTTATATATAAATAGAAAAGCCCTTACATTTATGTTTTAATCCTTTAAAAAATAAAATACCGTAGTTTATGGTTATAATTCCTTTTTCTCTCACTTTTTTATTAAATTGTATGTTCTTTACCATTTATTGAATGATTTGTGTTTCCTCTTTGTATAAGTGCTTGTTATTTTTTCACTTTCTTCTTAAATTGAATATTTTAATCCTTTAGTGAATAATTTTAGCTTTTTTGTTCATTTGAACTGCTGGTAATTTTGAAGAGGTTAAACTTTTACTGTGGCTAGTGAAAGATTGAAACACTTAATGTCCATACTGTCGTGACACTTTGATTATATTAGATTTAAGCTTCGTGCCCTTTACTTGTAATCGCCATTTTTTAAGTGTATGTTTTATATGTGTTTTTATTATGTGCTTTAAGATAACTGTTTGTTTTGTTTCATAGACATTTCCAAAAGTACATACTTGAAATATATTTTTACATAATGTAATATAGCATAATTTCTTGCATTTTTTTTTTTATGCTTTTGTGTTTGCTTTTGGCATATGTTCCGTTAAATCAAAGAAAAAATATATTCGAAATTAAACGAAATGTATGTGGTATTATAAATGTATAGTTTAAAATATAATTTTTTTAAATCTATGTTTTGTATGTGTTTTATTATGTGCTTAAAGGTTACTAATGTTTGTTTTGTTTCATATATATAGATATTTCCAGAAGTACATACTTCAAATGAACTTTTACATAATGTACTATAGTAAATTCTTGAGTTTTTTTATATCTATATGATTGTTTTTGGTATTTGTTCGGTTAAATCAAAGAAAAAATCTATTCAAAATTAAACGAAATGTATGTAGTATTATAAATGTATAGTCTAAAATATAATTTTTTAAATCTATGTTTCGTATGCGTTTTCATTATGTACAGAGAGGTAACTAATGTCTGTTTTGTTTCATAGATATTTTTAGAAGTGCATACTTCAAATGTACTTTTACTTAATGTAATATAGTAAATTCTTGAAATTTTTTATACCTTTGTGATTGTTTTTAATATATGTTCCGTTAAATCAAAAAAAAAATATATTCGATATTAAATTAAATGTATATAATATTATAAATGTATAGTTTGAAATATAAATGCCCGGCAAAAGTTTTAAAATACTCAGAATCATTCAGTATTGTTTTAAATATTTATATTTGAAGAACTATTTTATTTCTAATTATATATTATTAATCATTGCCATGTGAATAAAATTTCAGTTTTCAAGATTTTGAAATAAAAATGTGTCATTTATTTATAGTTGGTAAAAATGTTGTGAACATGTATTTATTAAAATAAAAGAAAAAGTAATAAAGAAATTTACTGATAGGGATACCTAACTGCAACCCATAATTTTCTGAGTTGTGGTTAAAAAGAGCGTATTTTATTTAATGATGATTTTTTTTTATTATTATTTAATGATGTTTTTTGTACAAATTACACAAATTATATTATTCTAAAATGAGTTAATATTACATAGGTTTGAAGGATTTTTAGAGACAAATATTACATTTACAGTGATAATTTAAACAAACTCTTATGAGTATATACTTGTATTTATTTTTGTAAAAATTATCTTTCTAAAGATATTCAAAAACGAATTAATATTTGTTACATTGTTATCAGCAAATTCTTTCTGTTTGAAGTGTTTTTAATTTAGTAACCTTGGTCAAATTTGATTCAAGGTCATTAAATCGCAGAAAATAGATAAAGTACTTCACTGAAAATTTATCAATTTTCTTCTGTGTGCATTACGTTTTCAACCACTTTAAAGATTATAACGATATTATTAACGGTGAATGAAACAATTTTTTAATGAACTCTGAACTTTATATGATGAAGGAATCCATCAATGAACGAGTTAAATGAAAGAATATTTTTGAAATCATATGTCCTGATTATGAAGTATTCAAAATTTTATTGATGTGTTGTTTTTTTAATGCATTTTTTTATTTAATCAGCTTCTTGGTGTTATTCATTTATTATTTAATTCCTGCTATTACTTCACACTCTCCCTGTATATATATATATATATATATATTATATATTTATATATATATTCTAATATATATATATAATATATATATATATATATATATATATTTGTATATATATCTTGTTCATAAATTTTCGATCGTTAATAAAATACGTGTTATTCATCTACTCAAGTTCAAATACATTTTTTTAAACTTGTAGTGGATGGCACTTGATGTTAATAGAGTTTTTTTAAATATTAATTGATTAATTCTATTTAATTAATGAATAAATAGTAAAAAAAATAAAAATAATAGTCCAACACCGTATATAGACACCCCCCCATCCGGTCTAGTGGTCAGTGAAGCTGACTGCGGTGCCGTAGGGACTGGGTTCGAAACCTGGAGAAGTCATGCATGTTTGTATTGTAATCATTTCTTCTGTTTGTGCTGTATGCCCCGTGTTATACATTACGTGGTGCACGAGATTTATAAATGTTAAAAAAAACACCATATATAGAAAGGAAAATCGCTTGTAGTATCTCTGTAGTGCAATGGATAGCGTTTTGGACTTTTAGTACAAAGGTTGTGGGTTCAAATCCCACATGGCTTGACCTAATTTCTGAGAATTTGATTTATTTTTACTGTACTATATTGTGGGATAATTAAATTTAGTTAATGATTAAAAGTAACAAACAAAAATATAATATTCTAACACCATATATAGAGAGGAAAATCGCTTTCTATTTTGCGACTTAATATTATGATTCTGCCGTATGTACATATTTATATTAATTGTAACTATTTAATAAAAAGTAACTAAAATAACATTTTTCTTTATTGATCTAAGTAGGAATTGACTAATTTTTTTTTGTGTTACTTGTTTTATACATAATTTTTTTGTAAATATTTCTTTTTTACGAAAACATTTCTTTTTATGTTTTTTCTATTAATTTCACAAAAATTAAAAAATCTTCTAAGTGTTCTTTAATATTCGATATGTTCAAATTTGAAAACTCAGAATTTTCAGAGAAAACCAATAATTCTGATACATTTCGTTTTATGCTTCTGAAATTTTAAGTAACCGAGATTGATAAAAAGCAGAACATAAGCTCTTAAGTTTTTCTTTGTGCATTATTAATTACTTGAAATTATTAAAATTTTGCTCAAAGTCAAAAATTGATTTGTGGAAACTACAAACAAAGTTTTCAAAAGACAACTTATAATTTTAAAAATCGGCATGGGAAAAAATAGAACAATTATTTATATGTTAGATATTTTTTCAGAAATTTAAGTGGAGACATTTTATATTATAATTTTTATTGTAACAAATTGATTTATAAAAATGTAAGTCTCATTTAGAACACATAAATAAATTTGTAATATTGCACATTGCATAATAAAACATAAACTTAATTACAAAGATAGGATAATGGTTTTTAGAATCAGTTCCATTCTAAATTGCTTAGGTAATCGTAAACCTCCTGATTGACAGCACAGAATGTGGCTACATACAGTAGAATCACTTCCACTATTTTCAAAGTCCACCTTTTTCATAATCACTATCTGAAAAATCATCACTTTTGCTATCCTGCAGCATCGCCATCATTTTACTTTTTTTTTCAAAGGAACTATCCTTCTTTGTACATTACTAATCCACAAGCCGACGTGTACTATACAGTAGGGAAAACACGTGACCAGTCCCGCCAAAAAAAAGATCCGCGAAACCAACAAAACTTTGCTAACTACCAATCAAAGATGAATATTTCCTTTCATTTGCTCCAGGCCGAGTAAAACCATGGTGAAACAAATAAAACTGACAAATTCCGTATCTTCCGAGTTTTCTCGGGGTAATAATTAACTTATATATGCGCACCCGAGATAACTTGGGATAATCAGGCAAGTGGTTAAAAAAATAAGTTAAATGGATTGAAAAGAAAGATTGGTAGTATTATTACTTTTTAGTCGACATATATATTTTCTTCAAAATGCAAGCATTGTTGTTCAAGGAAACTGTATATCCATCCCATTACTTTTATAAAATTTAATATATTATAAAAGATAAATGACTAAAATTTTTGAAAAAAAATGACTAAAAATGAAAATTTTTGGATGAATTATCATATAAAAAGATACAAAATTTAATGTTTGGAATTTCGGATAATTTCATTCCAGGGATGGAACAGCACTTTTGGCTTGAAGGTCACATTGGGCAATCCAGGAGTGGTCAACCAGCGGCCGGCGTGCAAGCGAGATTCATCCCAACTTTACAAAATACGATTATTTTGTGCAGTATTTTTGTTTTTAGTGCAGTGTTTTGAAACAAATAAATCCCATAACTAGTTCTATTTTATCAAGTTGCTCCTGATTTTCAGTTGCATTGAGATCGACTTGCAAAAACAAAGTGAAAAAGTTAAGAAACTATTGCATCCCCCCCCCTAACTAAAACCATTAAGCATTATTTGACCTCATTATTGTTACATTGTCTATGTTTGTACACATGAAAAATAAACAAAACAATGATAATAATTCATTCTGTTTTAAATTTTACCACCAATAAATGTTTGTAATGGATCCAAATCCAATATAAAAATCTATATTTTTATATGCGGCCTACGGGATTGGGATGTATTTTCGAAGTGGTCATATGGGTCATATGACCCGCTAGGTCATATGGGTTGGTCGTTCCTGAGGTAAGAGGAGGATGCACGAGAACCACATTTTTTAAAAAGGATTGAATTCATTGGTTAACATTGCACCTCAGAAAAGGTATAAATTGTACCTCATATAAATCAATAAATATGTCAAAAAAATAGTGGCAATTTTTTTTTTCTATTTATTTCCAGTGATAATTTCAAATGAGCTAGGGCTGCATCCACATCTAATATTATATTCAGTTTAATGAAATTAATGAGCCCTATCACACTCTTTTCTACATTATTTTTTAAACCAGGAGTGAGAAAACTCGTTGAAATCCTCATTGCAGCCTACAAATTCATGTCATCCAGCTTGCATGTGTGCTAACTATTGTTGATCTTCATGCAAGAAAGCTTTGCTCACAAATATACAGGTTGGTTCCGAATTCATGGTACAAACTTTAAGGGTAGATACAGGACATTGTAACAATCATTTATTGTATAGAAATTTATGGGTGCAAGTGACGTGATTTGACGCAAACAGGGGAAATAAAAGAAAAGTGGAGATATCGATTTGTTGCGTTGCCAGTAGGGGGCAGTAGTTGTCTAGCCACCGTTCAACATGATGCATCGCAGAAGAGGAAAGAGTCATTGTCCATTGTGCTGACGTCTACGATGGGAGACTTAACATATGCCGGAATGCAGACATGCATTGCATGTACGACCGTGCACCTGGTAATGGTACAGCTGCACTACGAATGTATCACGAGCAGTTTCCTCATCGACGAATCCTGGATCACAGCATTTTTCAGTGATTACATCATCAACTTCGTGGAACACGTTCATTCCATGTCAGCAGACATGATTCTGGTCGACGAAGAACTGTACGCAGACCAATCTTGAAAGAAAGTATCTTAAATGTTGTAGCTGATACACAACAATGTACAAGATATGTTGCTCATGTACATGACTCGAACTTGAAATATTGCTCATCACGTAAGCGTGAGTCATGAGGTCCATTTGTAGAGTGTTAAACGAAAAGCGCTAACTTCTCTTCCATTTTCAGCGAGTACAAGCAATAATTCCGGTAGATAATCTTCTGCGACTTCCAATGGGAGGTACAGCAATGAACGTTGCAGCTGTACTTCATAGCTCATGCGCTGAACAGTTATGAACAGTTATTGTAAAAATTACATTTTTCAACGACGTTTTCAATAAACACTTTGTCTTTTCTTTTGTCTCTTATTTTTGTCTTTATACTGCCGTGGTCCAGTCCTATCTCGGACTGAGTTCACATTGCCCGACGCGCCTGGTGTGGAAGGAAACATATTATCACCAACGAAAGCCATAATTACAAATATTTATTAACAACACACAAATACAATTAACAAGTCTCACTATAAGTAGAAACCCTGGAGTGATTATTCAGTTCCCTAGATTAATCCTGATACACGACTCTAACATTCAATTATAACCTTTAAATCTAATATTCCCTACTAAATAATCTCATCTATTAGAATTGACAAAGGAGACGAACGCTTACTAACTTCAGGTCGATACTAACTATAATCCCTTTGATTATTTCAATGATTAACAATATCAATTACTATCTAATACGTTCTAAGCTCGCTGGAGAGATCCGTAGTTGATACTTACAACAAGTTTGGCAATTCCTTCTCCTACTGCTTTCTTACTAAATCTAGACTTTATATAGTCGAATTCATTAGCATATCACTATCTCGTGTTTTTCCCGAGGAGGCTATTAAATAGAATAATTGCTGGCCCCAAAGTTACCCAAGAGGGTTAATGGAAGATTGACGCGGATAGACCCGTCACAGTACATCACCGTGTCACTTGTGCTCATACATTCATAAACAATAAATGATTTTTACAATGTCCAGTATCTACCCTTAAAGTTGTATTTCGATCCAACTATAGAGAAAATTTTCTTACTATATGGTTTTCTGACTATGTTGGCGGGCCACAAAAAACCCTTTGTAGGTAGCGTGTGGCCAGAGTGCTACTTTCCCAACCCTGTTTTACTCTATTCGTAATCAAAATTCATTTAAATTAAATATTTCTGATATATATACTGAAATAAGCATTTTTTTATATTGCTTCAGATTTAGATCAGCAGTCATATTTCGATATAAAACAGTATCCTGAAAAATTTAATTGACGTCAAAATATTTTTGTGACATAAAAAATATATTGTACTCTATTTCATGTTCCTTTCTACACAATTTATTTGTCTCTTGTAGTTCAGAAATATTATTTCTTCAAGTTAACGAAAATGCATGCCTTTCATCAGTATTCAATGTAATATTAAATAAGTATCATTTATACATTTTATCAACTTCCATAACCCCATTTAACAACTCAAGTGAATCTTGTATGAAATTTTTTGTTCATGCACAAATTTCTTGCATCACATAGTTTCTCTCCATATGGTTTTAAGATTTAAAACCTCCTACTACGCACCATTCCTTAAAAACTGCACAGCTCAAGGAATTCTAATAAATGTTTAAGTAATAGAAATGTTTCGATAAATGAGAAATTTCATCTTTAATATGACAATTTACTACTTTGTATTGAGTCAATCATATCTGGAGAACTCAAAATCTTTCACCATCCACTTTTTTACCAAAAAATAAAGAAATGCATGTGTTTAAAAAAAAAATTAATCATTCTCAATTTCTTCATATTTAAATCTGTATGATTAAAATAATTTTACTCTTAATTAAAATCATATATATTATTGACGAATCTCTTATTTATACAAGTATTTATACTTGTATGTGTGTTAGTTTTAAATTTAAGTAACATTTACTTTACACAATAAACTAGCTTGTTAGTAAAATAGCGGAATAGCTTGTTCCGCTTAATTTTAGAAAAATTAGTCAGTTCGTCAACATATGCCAGGAGTGACACAAAAGAAAAGAAAAACTCTGGTACAATAAATTATTGTACTTACA